TTCTGATAGATAAATGCAATACAAAGTAATTTGAAGAGGGAAAGGCACTAACAACTTGGTACAGTGGGAGGTTTCTTGGAAGAAGTGGCACCTGAACTGAACCTTGAAGGATTCTGATACACCAGAAGATTAGTTACCAGTTTTTTGGCAATACCAATTGTAAAAAAAAAGAAGTATTAATACTGTACTTTGAGTTTTAGGCACAAATCTAAACATTTTTATTAATTTAACATAATTGAGGCAGCTAGGTGTTATAGTGGATTGAATGTTGGGCCTAGAGGCAGGAAGACCTGAGTATAAATCAGAACTTAGACACTTGATTGTTTGATTCTGAGCAAATCACTAACCTCTGCCTGCCTCAGTTTCATCAACTGTAAATTTGGGGTTTATAAAAGCACTTATCTCCCGGGGGTTGTTATATGACAAATGAAAAATCCCCAAGAGACAAAGTTCCTGGATAATCAATAATCAATTTATTAATTATGCTAGCTAATAATCAATAAATTGATGATCAGTGGTTCCAAACAAGATAATATTTATAAAATGCTTAATGCAGTGCTTGGCACATAATAGGCTTTTCTTCCTTCTAAATTCAATCATTGCGTGAGAGAGATGCTCAAACTATCAAAGTCTCTTTGTGCTCTCAGACTGACTGACCTCTGACATAAGACAATTTGATGTAACATTTCTAGGAATCTTGAACAATATCATCAAATGTAGTACATTTTACTTCATCTATTAGAACAATAGTTTTTTAATCTTCTAACATTCCTCAATTCCTTCTTTGACCACCAGCCTTTTAAGGGTTCAAAGGGATCTCCTCCCAGTGAGCTAGTCAACAATAAATCAAGTCCTCTGCCATTTATTAAGTACCTACTCTGTGCCGGACATCGGTGCTCTAGTTCCTTCAGAATGGCAGTGCAGGTATTGCTGGGGAAAGCAATGATCTTAATTGGACAAGAGTCTAAGTTTGTTCTTGTTCTAAGTAAATTCTTATCCTAAGTTTGGTTATCAAACTCACTCTGTTTTCCTGGGGCATTGACTTTTGTTAAATAGTTATCATTTATGTACCATTTTAAATTTTGCAAAGTGCTTTACATGTGTTAGTTATCTCATTGGATTCTCACAAAAACCCTGTGAGGTAGATGTTATTATTATCCCTATTCTATGGGGATTTTATGAGAAAACTGAGTCCCAGAGAGGTTATGACTTGTCCAAGATCACAAGCTAGTAAGTATCTGAAACAAGATATGAACTCAGGTCTTCCTGACTCCCAAGTCCAGTGCTCTATCCACTGACTTTTTACACACTTCCTAAATGGAAAAATCTGGAAAGCACTTTTGAATGGAGAAATACTTATTTTCTTAATAAAGAAACCTCTTTTAAAAAAAGTTGGTCATATACAGAAGAGGGGTCATGATTAGCATTGGTGGAAAGAATACCCATGCCAAAATTCGTAGCTGTTTTGAAGTTGTTGACTTCATTGACAAAAAATAGTTCTAGGCCAATATTTAGAAACATTTAAAATTTTTACCTAAAGATTTTCTGTTGTCATGGGAGTTTCCCAGCCTTCACATTGTCAAAGTTGGAAAATATTAAAACTAAGAATAGAGTACAACTCTGCTAGGCCAATGTAGTCTTCCTTTCAGCTCTACAATACTCTTGTTATCTTAAATAGTCATTATACTGGAAAGAGTAACAAATTTTGGCAATGTTTTCCCCACTGGCGGTTGCTTTTATCCTAATTACTTTTATTAGTGCTTTTTCTATTTTATACTAGAGAAAGAACCCACCCTTGTGATAAAGAAAAACAGTTAAACAAAACCAGCTGGAATTTGGTGTTCTTGTTCAGTCCTTTTTAGTTGTGTCTGACTCTTTGTGACACCATTTGGGGTTCTTTTGGCAAAGATACTGGAATGGTTTGCTCCAGCTCATTTTACAGATGAGGAAACTGAGGCAAACAGTTTTAAGTGACTTGCCCCGGAACAAACAGATGCTAAGTGGCTGAGATCTGATTTGAACTCAGGTCTTCCTGACTCCAGGCCCAACACTCCATCTATTCACCACCTACTTGCCTCAATAATGTTAAATTAATAAAAATGTTTAGATTTGTGCCTAAAACAGAGTCACAGATACTAAGTGTCTGAGGCCAGATTTGAACTCAGGAAGATGAGTCAGGAAGATGCAATAGAGCCACTGCGCCATCTAGTTGTCTATCTGATTAGTATAAGGGAAATTCTGAGCCCTTGTCCTTCATTTCTATACTGAAATATTTTATCATCACTATAGTAGGTTTATTTTTTAATTTGAAAACTATATCATCCACTGGAATAGGCAAGAAGTTAACCCTTCCCTGGGATGGACAAGAAAGGCCAAGGCTTTTTAATCTTGGGTTCAAGTAATTAACTTCACAAGTGCAGTACTGGAAAGCTAGGGAGACAAAGATTTTGTAACTTAAAATGTTCTAGTGGATTGTAAGCTCAAGATGAGTCAACAATGTCACATGATAGCAAAAAAAAAAAAAGCTAGTTCTATCCTAAGCCTCAGTAGGAGAGGCATAGTGTCCAGAACAAAGCAAATGATTGATCATAGGGAACACTGAGAGTATTTTGTTCATTTCTGTGTGCCATATTACCAAGCAGGAGTGGAGGAGGGGTGTAGTGCAGCATGATGCCCTTTTGCAGGAGAGCAATACAAAATAACCATGTAAACCAGATAACCATCTTCAACTGTTTGAAGGGCAGGCATGTGGAGGAGAGGTTGGATTTGTCTTGTTTGGCTTCAGAAGGCGCAAAGATGGAGGAAAGAAAGCCTCCCTGACAGAAGAGCTGTCCAAAGGGTAATGAGTGGCCTGCTTCCGGGAGCCCTGGTGTTCTTCCTCACCAGAAAGTGTCAATCTGAAATCAGATAACAGGAGACAGCAAGGGATAGTGAAAAACCCATTGCATCCCAAGTAAGATATCTAAGTTCTGATCCAGGTTCTGTTGAATAGCTTTGTGACCTTGGAGGTGACTTCACGTTCTCAAAGGGTCGGAATGGATGACTCTGAACATCCTTTCTTTTTTTTTTAATATTTTATTTTCCCTCAATTACATGTAAAAAATTTTTTAACATTTGTTTAAAATTTTTTTTCTAAGACAGTTCCAAGGGACTCATGATAGAAAATGCTGTCCACATTCAGAGAAAGAATTATGGAGTCTGAATGCAGATTGAAGCATACTATTCTCTCTCTTTTTTTTTCTTTCTCTTTCTTGTGGTTTTTCCCTTTGGTTCTGATCCTTTCACAACATGATTAATGTATAGGTATAGCCTATATCAGATTACATGCCATCGAGGGGAGGGAGAAAAACATTTGGAACTCAAAATCTTATAAAAGTGAATGTTGAATACTAAAAATAAATTTAAAAATAAGTCGATCTGAAAATTTTTAAAAATTTTAATTCAAAATTCTCTCCCTCTTTCTCCCCTTCCCCCCCCACTGAGAAGGAAAGCAGTTTGATATAGATTATACCTATGCTTGTCAGAAATGTTTTAGAAAGGATTCTTATCTCATTTAGACTTCAGATATCTCTTCTGATTCTGTGATCTTTGGGAGAATCTGGTCAGGAAATAGAAATAACAACACTTGTTTCCAATGAAGAACTTGAACTCTAAGGCCTCTCTTTCAGATCAGGAAGGTGCTGGAGATATGAAAACACACACACGTATTATTAAATAGTTTCTGCCCACATGGAGATTACACACACACACACACAAATAATTATAGTACAATGTATTATGTAATAATTTAGTGCTATTTTTTGTTCAAAGGTTAGGAAAAAAAACAATTGGGGTGAATATGGAGTAGATGGAGAAGGAAGAGCAGGGAAGCCTTCCTTCTGGAGGCTTTCCTTGCAAATGATCACTCCTCAAATTTTTTTAAAGAACTTTGCCTGGATCTTTTCCTTTCTTTTAACCCTTTCTGTCTTAAGTCATATTAATTTGTGTCCCTCCCACCCCCACCTTTAGATCATAATCTCCCTTAAGAAAAAAGGACTGCTTCATTTTGTAGTCTGTGTTTGTATCCCGCGGCCTAGCCTTGTGGCCTTGTAAATGAAATTAAAGTCGTTAAATTAAATGGAAGGAAGTGACTTTTGAATTGTTTTAAGAGTCCAATAGCCGAGCTAGAGGGCATTCTGGGTGGGACTAAGGCACTGAGAAGATAAAGGGCAGGACTGTCGGTCTGAGCACGGAGTTGCTGGAGGAAATGTTGGGAGATATAAATTTGCAGCAAAACGCAGAGGACCTGGAACATGCAAAAAGTTTGGACTATACAGTACGGGTAACCTTTGAAAGTTTTTCCCCCCTTAAATAAATGGGGTTGATAATTCTCAAAAAGGAAGTTTTTATGATTTTTGGACAACCCCTCCTCCCCTCTTCCCCTCCCTCTCCCCCAACTGCTGTCCCAGAATCTTTTTTACGTGTGTGTATGTGTATAAAGTGGGGTGTAGGAGGATTATATGGTAGAAATCTTTTTGAAATTCCAAATAAAAACAGTCCAGAGAAAAGCTCTGGCTTGCCTCATCCCCACCCCCTCCACATTCTATTAAAGAGCCTGAATTCTATGCTTGAGTCATTCGCAAGGCGTGGGAGCCTTAAATTGAGCGTGGAGACGCTTTTACGGAAAACTGTAGGTGTCCCGTGGTTCTCTGGGGAAAATTTCCCCCCACGCTTCAGTCTCGAGAAGGAAGGCATTACGTAAGAAATTCAAGCGTGCTCTGAAGAGCAAGCGGTCAGCCCCAGTGGACAGAGTTGGGGTGGAAGGTGGATTATCTGCTGTGCTTTCCCCCACATTCCTAGATCCTTCCTGGGAATGGTGAGTTCTTATCCTCCGCAGCCAATTCTGGGACCGAAACAAAACTTGGGAAGCAAAGCAAACTACTCCGGCTCCGCCTCGAAAACTTTTGGGAGCCACCTAAAAATTTCCTGCTTCCTGTTTTCTCATTTGCTTGGTTTGCTAGGCGAGACGGTCTCCAGGGCGTGTAGCTGTGGCAACTGTTGCATTAGGAATTACAAACTGTGCTGTTTCTGCGTGTCCCCTGTGGCACAGCTCGGTGGCCGATAGCAGAGCGCTGGATGCCCAAGCCACGCGCCCCGTGAGTACGAGGGAGCATTTGTCCCTTCTCCCCGTCCCGGCAGAGTTGAACTTAGCAGGCGGGCAGTGAGTGAGTCACTTACCAGCGGACCCGGAGGCGGACGGGGTCCGGCGTAGACTTCTGCCACTGTAGTGCTGCACTCTGAATTGTAACTTGGGAACTATTTAAAGCCTTGGAGTCTGGACTATCCAAACGCTTTTTTTTTTTCCCTGAGTTAAAATTGCAGCTACCTACCATAGAAGTACTTTTTGGGGGCAGCTAGGTGGCGCAGTGGGTAGAGCTCCGGCCTTAGACTTAGGAGGACCTGAGTTCAAATGTGCCCCCAGACACTTGACACTTACTAGCAGTGTAACCCTGATTGTTGATGGAATGAAATGCGTGTAAGAGCTTAATAAGTGCTTTTCGCTCATTTATTAGTCACTACTGATCATAGTCTAGATCAACAAGAAGGGCTAAGAATGAGAATAACACATTTGTATAAATTTACATAGACTTCTAGCAGGGTTTCTTAACCTTTTTTATTTGTCACGGACGATCCTTTTGGCAGTGTGGTGAAGCCTTTGGAGCCCTTCTCAGAATGGTTTTAAACGCACAAAGTAAAATACATACGATCACAGAAGAAAACAATTATATTGAAATAGCTATGAAAATCGAGGTCATGTCCCCCATCCCTATGGATAGGCTTAATATGTAGTCCCAGGGTGTTCCTTGGAAGGTTCTCAGTTACCTAAATGCCCTAAAAAAGAGAAGAAAAGCAAAGAAAACTTTTTATTTATACTTGTATTTGTGTTCATCCTGTGCCTAGCATCTGGTCTTTTTCTGAAAGCATTAATCATTTTCGAGGGAAAAGAAAAATATCTCTAGGGATACGTTCCAGACAAAGTAATTACAAATCACTGAAAGACTTGAGCCAGAGAACGTTGTATGCTAATAAAAATTATTTTGGTCATGCTAATGCTATTTTTAAACACAAGAAGAATGTTAACAAAGGCTTTGGTAAAAATGGAAATTTTTCGTTTGCATGGAAAGTAAAACGTTCCTTGAGGGTAGGGACTTTTTTAAAAAATAATTTTATCCCCTGTGCCTGACATATTTCTCCTAAAACATGTAGACTCTTAATGAATATTTCTTGATTGTTGTCCACTTCTCCCCCCAAAAAAATTCTTCTGTAAAATGGAAATCATGATGTAATATAAGTGATATAGGATGATACTTGTGCCACTTTCCTCACAGGGGTTATTTGGCAAACTTTAAAGTGCTATATGAATGTGAGCCCAAGACTTTGAGTCAGTAACAGCTGAGTTCAAATCCTGAGTTCAGACACTTGCTAGCTGTCAGACACTTGGGCAAGTCACTTAACCTCTCTGAGCCTCAGTTTCCTTATTTGCAAACGGGGATGATAATAGCCCCTATGTTACAGGGTTGTTGAGAATCAAGTGAGGTAAGATATGTAAAGCACTTTGCAAAACTTGAAGCTCTCTGTAAATGCTAGTTGTCGTTAGCAGCTGTTTTTGAATTTGTTGTAATCAGTAGTACTCAATAAATGCATAAATGAAAAAGCATTTATTAACCCTTTATTATATATTTAAGTACCGTGCCACTACAAAGGTAAAGACAATCCCAGTCCTAGAGGATCTTATATTCTAGGGGCCACTGGGTGATGGAATGGATTGAGTGTTGGAGTTAGGAAGTTCTGAGTTTGAGGCCTGCCTTAGTTCTTGTTAGCGTGTGACCCTAGGCAAGTCACTTAACCTCTTTCTGCCTCCCTTTCCTGAGAGATAAAAATGGTGACAGAAATTACTATCAGCTTCACAGGGCTGGGTAAGTCACTTCCTCATATGTGAAATGGAAATAATAATAGTAATAGTGCGGTTATATTACGTTCAAAGTGAGAGCTGTCCAAAAATAGAATAGATTTCCTCTTAAGATGATCAAGTGAAGATGTTAAAGCAATTGCAGGAACATCATGGCATGTTGTAGAGGGCATTCATTCATGCTTCAGGTAGATTAGGTGACTTCTAAGGTCCCTTCTGACTCTGAGACTCTCTGATTCTCTGAGAACTGTAATTTACTCTCAATTTTTCAAGGAGGGAATGGAAGGGAAGAGGAAGGGAAAGGAAAGAGGAGGAAGAGGAAGGAAAAAGAAAGGAAATTTATTAAGGTTCTACTGTGTGTGCTAAGAGCTTTACAACTATTATGTCATTTGTCTCTAGTGTGTGTTACTCAGTTTTTTCCTGTCAGTCAACAATTGAGTGCTTACTACATGCTAGTAATTTTAAGGCATATCAAGAGACCTAAGACAGTATTTTGTGCAGTCCGTTCTCGGTAAATGTGTACTAAGTTTGTGTGTGTGTTTATATGTCTCAGAGGGTGGAGGGACCTTGGTCAAGATTTACTAGGTTAAAGAATGAGGCTTTTGTTCTGGCATTGACATTGTTTCCTTGATGGAAGGTGAATTCTAAGTTCTTCTATTTCATGATCCACCCCCAAGGAATTGGCTTTTAAATAGTTTGCAGTTGTTTTAATAGTTGAGAGACTCAAAGTGAAGGGCTTATGAAGATTGTGTTAGTTTATGATTTACTGAATTCCTGTGCATCTTTGAGGCCCCTCCAAGGACCCACAAGGCACCAGGAGAAGAGGAATCATGGGGCTTCAGAGTTAGTAATGACTGACAGTAGTAGTGGAGGGCAAAGAGTACCCTCAGCCTACCCAGTGTTGACTAAGTTCTTGGACCATGCAGGAACCAGAGCTGAGGAGCAGCAAAGGATAGAGCCATGATGTAGAAGACCAAACCCAGGCTTTTTCAAACTTCATTATTACGGTTAGTTATGCAGACTGTGGAGGTTTGGGAAGAGAAGTTTACTCTGTCATCTGCAAAAGCCTTTCAACTGTGGATAGTTCCACTGGTGACTAAAGCCTTCCATTCTGGGAGATCAGCTTCTACCACTGGGTAGTATGGTAAGTCCAGAGTACTCTGTACTTCCCTGGGGGAGATGGGAATTAATTAACCTGGGTTGTTGTGGGAGTGAGAATCAATACTAAGACTGATCAGTACTAATACTAATCTGATACTGAGAATCTGGTACTTAGGAGTGATGTTTTGACTGGTTATGGGCTCAGGGGTGAGTTCTTTATTCTTAGTAGTGTTGTTTTTTGTCTCATTGAATAAAATCTGTATGGTATTTCTATGAGTTCACCCAAATGCTTCCATGTAAATGGAGTGTCTTTTTACCTTTTCCATAGAGACCTATTATACCTCTCTTTTTTTATATATTCACAGCAGAAACCCTTGGAGGGGGTATGAGTCAAAGGGAAAGTAATTTGTGAGACACAAATGTGGTGTAGGTAAAAACCCAGAGTTAGGGTTCCCTACTCTATTTTGGATATCAGGTGGGGAGGCCAAAGTCAAAGATTCCACATGCTAATAAAATGAAGAAGTGCTTTTAAAAATTTACTTATATCTTGTTTTTGCATCAGCTACATTTCCAATATATCTCTTTTCCCTTTTTGCTTAATAGTTTATACATTAGTGGGGCAGCTAGGTGGCTCAGCGGATAGAGCACTGGCCCTGGATTCAGGAGGACCTGAGTTCAAATGCGGTCTCAGACACATAATACTTACTAGCTGTGTGACCCTGGGCAAGTCACTTAACCCCATTGCCTAGGCCCCCCCCCCACCAAAAGTTTACACATTAGCCATAGCTGTGAAAATATCTGACCTAGTTCTTTTCTTGTGTGTGTGTGTGTGTGTGTGTGTGTGGTATGTCTTTTATATTTAGGCCACATATTTATTTTCAGCTTATTGTGGTGAAAAATGGTACAATGCGTTATAAATCTAATTTCTGCTAACCTGCTTTCAAGTTTTTACTGCAGCTCTTGTCAAATAAGGAGTTCTTCCCCAAGTAATTTGTGTCTGAAGTTTATTAAATTCTGGGTAATTAAGTTTAATTCCTTTTAATTCTTTTAATTTCTGTGTTTTTGAATCAGGCAGAATGATGTAATGGAAAGAGCCATGTCAAAAGATCTGAGTACAGGTGCTAGCTTTGACACCTTACTCTGTGACCACAGGACAAGACTGTAAACTTTTGGGCCTTGGTTTTCTCATCTGTAAAAAAGCAAGTGTATTTATTAGGCATTTAATACATGCCAGGTGCTCTGCTTAGCACTGGGGATAGAAATACAAGGAAGCAAGACAGCCTCTGCCCTCAAGAATTTCCATTCTAATAAGAGGAGACAATCCCCTTTATAAAGGGTGTTGGGTGGAGATGATGCCAAAGTGGCATGGAGGCTGTAGTCCAGGCAAGAGGAGGCAAAAGTTCACCTGTGAGAACCAATTTTTCAGAGTCTAAGATTCTACTGGGAAAAGCATGAGATTATGGTAAGAGTGCCCCTACCTTATTGGACCTTTGTGAGGAAAATACTTTATGTAAACCTTGAAGTGCTATGTAAGTGCTGGACAACATAATCTTAGTTGATAGGATCCTTAGTAGTAGATTGTCCATGGACAAGGACAAAAGGAGAAAGGAGAGGAGAAATTTGGAAACTGCAGTCAGTCCCATTTTAAGTCCAATTGTCATCATTCCCAAACCTGGCCAGCTACTACCTCTTCTTTCTCAGTCCTCCTTTGGCTATTTCATGCTCTCCAGCAGTATACTTTCTGTTGCCCCTCCCCCCACTTCCCTCACAAAAAGATGAGTAGCTCTTACATGAATTTTTTTCGTCAGTTAGACATATGGGTAATAATAACAATAATGCGATTTTAGTAAATCCTCACCAATTTAGCCATTGTGGGAAAGGCTGCTTTAATTTACTGAAAAGTCCTCTTTTAGTATGGATGAAGTCATTACTTTCAAACACATTTAGTAATGCATGGTTGACCAAATGTTTCAGAGATTTCAGTGATGACCTTGCTGATATGCTAAAAATAGATGGGAGTTATTTGTAAAGAGAATAGGTACTTATACATTTGTAAAGAGAATATTGTAAAGAGAAAAGATACTTTTAAAAAGTATCCTTATTCTCATTCACCCCTTGCAACCATATTTTCTTTATTCCCTTACATAATGGATTACTTTTTTTAAATGTTTTATTCAGAAAACATTCTGCCTGAATCTCTCAAGCTAAAATACTGAGATTTTGACACATCTGATTTATTGATTATGAGCCAGTATACAGTATACAGGGCATGCATAGTATAGTGTCATATATCAACATTTTCAGTGTGAGTTGCAGTATATAGTATGTATCTGTGGGTCCGGTGCCACCTACACACATTCAGAATCAGTCTCTAATGATGTGTTCCAAAAGTTCTTTTGTTAAATTGCTTGGTGAGAATTTGAAATTAATTTTTCCCCTCTAGGAGCAGTGTTATCAAAAGGATGACTAGGTTCCCAGCCCGAAGAAGGCTATTTAACCCACATATAATATAGCTGGGCTTATGGAATCTTGTTAGAGCCGGAAGAGACCTTAGAATCTACGTAGTCCAACTCCATCGTTTTACAGATTAGGAAATTTGTGAACTTCCTAGTACCTTTCAGAGAAGAAAGTGATTGGTACAAGGTTGCCTAGCAACAGAGCTAGGATTCAAACCCATGTCTTTTGATGGCAACCAATATATTGTTCTTTCCACTTTATTATGTTAGTCCTTCCATTGATTTCCTAATCTTATCCTCCATGCTGATATGGAGGCAAGCTTGAGTTCCTGAAAACAATGCTAATGGACTGCAGGTCCTGCCAAGATGAACAGGCTTTGAGTATGAGCCTAGGGACCAAATGTGGTCCAAAGATGAACCAACTATTTAGAGCTTCCTAACTCATCTGGAAAATGAGATGGGTTGAACTAGATCAGCAATTTCCAGTTTTTATCAGTGTCTATTCTCCTTGACTTAAAGAAAATTAATTTTTTTTAAATTAACAGGGTTTTATTTTCTGTTCTCCTCTTGCTCCCAGCAGTGGAGAAAGAAAAAGAAAAACAAAACCGTTGAATATACATAGGTTAGTAAAGCAAATTCTTGTGTTGTTGGCCACGTCCAAATATGTATGTCTCATTCAGAGGGAGAAGGGAAATGATCTTGGAGGATTTGTCAACTTCCAGGATGTTCTGACGGGGAGTGGAGGTCAGGTTTTTGTAGGGAGTATCACCAGTGAGAATTCTGATGGTGGCTGGAGCTAATGGGGGAAGGGATGTAGCAGAAGCCGTCCTTCCATATGTGTCTTCCTTAAGCCTGGGACTGGCTGTCTAAAACAAGTAAACCATATTTTGTCATTCATTATAAAATTTAGAGGATCCATTCTGCCAAGTCTCATGAAGAATAAATGGCTTGCTGAAACAAGTTAGTGGAAGAAGTTTGAATTAATACTTACAGCTCCTATTTCTTCATTCCCATAGCTTAGTGATTGAACTGCGTTTTGATCTCAGCCTTTTGTGTTGGGTTGCCTCCTAACCCATTTCTGTAATGCTCTATGGTGTATTGAACACTTTTTTTTTACTATAATCTTGTGAGATACATAGTCCAAATATAATTAACACGATTTTATAGATGAGGAAACTGAAGTACGGAGAGGTTAAATGACTTCCTCCTAGTGGAATGGTCTCATAGCTAGTAATTGGCAGACTGGAGACTTAAGTTCATCTAACTCAACATGTTATAGTGAACAGAGTGCTGAACTTGGGATGAGGAAGACCTATTTCAGATTCTACTTCTGATACTTAATAGCTGTGTGCCCTGGTGGGCAAGTAATTTAACTTGCTAAATCTCACCTTCATCATTTGTAAAATGGAGGAGTTGAGCTAGATCACTGAGTGCAAAATTTGTTGATCATGCAACCCTATCAGTACAATTTTTGAGTGCCCCATATATGTATATTTACTTATTTGTAAATATACATTTAAAAAAGGATGAGTTAAAGATGAAATATTTGATCCTAGAGTCAATAGAGCACAGTTAGGTGAGTTCCATGGTCAGACTTGCACAATGGAGCATGGATTGAAGAGGAAAGAAATTTGAGGCAGGGAGACCAATTAGGAAGCTATTTCATAGTCCAGGCTTGAGTTAATGAAGGTGTGAATTACAGTGTTGGGATGTTTACAAAGATGTTATGGAAGCAGAAGCAATAAGGTTTGAAATTGATTGGATATGTGGTTTCAGAAAGATTGATTGAGGAACTGAGGATGATGCCATGGTTTCTGAACTTGGGTGAGAATAGAAGGCTACTGGTGTCCTCAACAGAAATAGGGAAGTTTGGGAGAGGGGTGTGGGTTGCAGGGGGATAATAAAATGAGATCTGCTGTGATCTCAGGGCCATCCATCCATCACCTCTCAACTTAACCTATGAGACTCACTCCATTCTGCTAGAAATAAAAAAGGAAATGCTCTCAATCACTAGTCACTGCTAAAGGGTACTTGCCCAAGCCAGGAGGTGATTTAGAGGGCAGGCTGGGGGTACACTTGGAGGTGGGGGATGGGTGTAACATAAAAATGTTTGAGAATGATAGTTTCTTGGTAATTAATCATTTTATTAATTATGCTAGTGGATAACTAATAAAAGGATCTTGGCATTCTTGAATGCCAAAGATTCCTCATAGATTCCTCATGGAACCCACTCAGTGCTTATATGTCCTTGGAAGAGTGGGTGATCCTGAGGATGGCAATCAACTGTAATTGGTTAATTGATGAGAAGAATAAGTATTATAATGAGAGGTGGACCCATTGTAATGAGGGGCTGGGGGGGGAGGGGGGAGGACCACATGACCCATGACTTTGATCACTCATGCCATCTAGACAAATGATCTACCTCCTTCCTCCCCTTCCCCCCAAGCCCGAAATAGATGGGCTTTCCCACTTAGGTGGTATCTGAACTAGATTGAGGAAAAAGTTCATTCGAGCTCATTATCAGCAATGTCCTTCTGATGCTGACTAGCCCTAGTAGAGAATGAGGAGATAGGAAGGGGAAAAAAGAACCCTGGATCTCCCCAATAATTGGTTATTTAATAATCATTTCTCTCAGGGGAGAGGGAATTTTACTTACGCAGCTATTGGTGCTCACTTGGTAGAGGTTAGGTTACAGCCATCCTAAGATATTAATGCTAGTGGAGAAAGGAAGGGGTTGGGATTTGGCCCAGAGAGGGATCAGAGTCGGGGACTGTTAGACTGTAATAGTTGCCTGAGGTAGTGTGGTTATGTTGGAGATGAGTGCTAGTATAGAGAGGGTGACCCATCTCACACTGTCCCATTGGTTGATCATATACCATTAGGGTCAGTCCATTCCCCCTCCTTAGGGGCTAGTAGTGTTTCCTTTTGGAATCCATGGACTAGATAACCTCTAAGGGCCCTTTCAGCTCAAAATCCACGATCCTGACCAGGATCTACCTTTCTTTTCCTGATTCCTTTTCTCCCACTCACAGAAAACTCTTATCTGCTCTTTTTTTACCTATCATTTTCCTGGTACTTTCCCTTAAGACTTGTATGATGATTTACTTCTGAGTAATAATTTTTTTAAAAAGTCCAGATAACTCATTAATACAGCATATGCTTAGTTTCACATCCTTTGGAAACTTACAATGGGCTTGAAGTTCTGTATTTAAACAGATGAGTGTATGTTTTGGTTTCATCTTATTTCATCTTATTTGCTGGAATCCCTTTTTTTGTAAGCAGAGTGAGCATTTAATTTGCCAAGTCTCAATAGAAAAGGGAGAGAACTAAATATTGAGTCTAGGCAATAGCTGTCTTAGGATGGAGTTCTAAGATTGGATTCCAGAGCTGATAGGGAGGGACCTTCTAGTTCAAACCTCTTGATATAAGATTTTTCTCTCTTTCTCCCCATTAAAAAAAACTATCAAAAAACCCCCAATACACCAAAAACCAAACCTTACAGAAACCTCCATGTTGGAAAGATTCACAAGACTGAAAGATGCAATTAAAGATGACCTTGAAAGCAGCATGGTTTCTTCTTGAAAAGAGCTAAATCCATATAGCCCCAATACAGCCTTGCCTTGGAATGACAGTGTGTAAGACATCGGCTCAAATCATTCATCAGATTGAAGAGGAATTAGATGAAGATGAAAAGGAGGTGATTCTCTTCCTGTGCCGTGATCTTGCCCCAGACTTAGTCACAAAGTTGGACTTACGGAATCTTCTGTGCACCTTGAATGAGAAGGGGAAGCTGTCTCCTGCTGGTCTGGCAGAATTGCTGTACAGAGTAAGGAGATTTGACCTGCTGAAGAAGATAATGAAAACAGACAGAGCCTCTGTGGAAGCCACCCTGGTCAAGTGCCCACAACTGGTTTCTGGCTACAGGTAATTCATCTCTAATTTTTTTTTTTTGGCTAGGCAGTGGGGTTAAGTGATTTGACCAGGGTCGCACAGCTAGTGTCAGATGTCTGAGGCCAGGTTTGAACTCAGGTCCTCCTGACTCCATCTCTATCCACTGACCCCAGTTCATCCCTAATTCTTAAGGAAGTGTTGGTTGGTCAATAATTTGGGGATGGGGGTGGATGAAAAGGGAAGGTGGTTGCTACCAAATGGGGGACAGAGTCATAATAAAGGTAAAACATTGTTAATAATAGTGCCTCAAAAAATGAGATTCATAAAGCGTTTTTCTCACAACAAGCCTGAAAAGTATGTTGTGAAAGCATTATTTTCATTTAACAGATAAGGGAATTAAGGTTAATGACTTCCCCACAGTCATGGAGTTAGTAAATGGCAGAACTAGAGGTTGAATCCATATCTCCTGACTCCTAGTTCAGGTTCAGGGTTCTTTTCTCCTCTTCACCCATTACTATAAACATACACACATATCTACACACATAAATATATAGATGTACAAACACATATATTTTTATATACTTATGATACATGTTCCCCTAATAGAATGAGGACAAGGATCATTTTATTTTTGTATTTATATAGTAGTTCCTGGTATATAGTAGTTGTCTAATAAATGCCTGCTTCCTTTATACATACTATAATAATAAATACTATAATGTATAATAATAAATATTATACTTCTTTCTATACATCCTCTCCGCAGTCTTCTCCATCCCAAACAAAAGGGGGAATGTAGGTTCTAACTGCTGCACAGTGTCTTAAAAGTTATTTAGTTGTAAATACTTGCAGTTAAATTAAAGGGACAAATGGTTTCTACTTGAATGATGAGATAGAAGGAGACAGGAGTGAGTAAGAGTTAGTAATTACTGCCAAATTCTTGAGAGATTTCTCTGGAGAATCCTGGATCCATCAGTAAGATTTTCCATGTCAAGTCCCAGCAATTTTGAGGCCCCAGAGATGAATTTCTAGGATGTACTCGAGATCTCTGAATAGTTTTTCTAACCTTTTCTTTATCCTCATTAGTCACTGAATACAGTTTTTTAATTCCAGCCCAGCCCTAATCAGCTATTCAGAAGTTAATTTCCTCTTATTTTTAGCCCGTTGACCAATCAACAAGCAATTTAAAAGTAACTATTATTTGATGGCCTCTAGCTTAGGTGCTAGGGATTTCTAGATAAAAAATGAAAACAGTACCTGATCTCAAGGACCTTACATTCTACTTAAGGGGGAGGGGAGGAATACAATGATCACAGATAAGTAAATGCAAACTAGCCATGACAGGCATGGGAGCATTAATAAATAACTAGGAGCAATTGGGAAAGGCCTTTGGAAGGAAGTGGTCTTTGAACTTCTGGGGGGAAGTAGGTATTCAAAGAGCAGCATGCTAGGAGGAAGAATATTCTAGGCATTTGAGGGCAAATCTATGGAGGCAGGAGGTGGAATGTTATTTATAAGCAAGAGCAAATTCCAGTATAGATTGTTATAGAGTTCCTGTGGAGGAGTAATCTGTAATGTGCATTGTCATGAAGATCAGATGAGATATTTGTGAAGCACTTAGCACAGTACCTGACACATATTAGGTGCTTAATAAATGTTTGTTCTCCCCTCCCCCCTTTCCCTATAAGCCTAGAAAGAAACTGGGGCCATATTGTTAAGGGCTTTAAATGTCAAGAGAAATATGTATTTGATTTAGTGGCAGTAGGGAGCCACTGAAACTTCTTGACCAGAAGAATGACATGGTCAGAGTTATGCTTTAGGAATAACTATTTGCCAGCTGTGTGAAGGATAGAGCAGAGAGAAGACAAGGGCAGAGAAGTCAATTGGAAGGCTGCCACATAGTCTAGGCAAGAGGTGGTAAGAACCTGTCAAGGCATGTGAGTAGAAAGGAAATGATGAGAGAGGTGAGAAATGCTGATGAGCTAGGAAGTCCAGATAACCACTTACTTTCAAAGATGGTGAAGAGGGAATTTCTGCATTGGATGGGACTGTTGGACTAGACCTCTAAGGTCCCCTTTTACTCTATGATTCTAAGGTTCTGTGATACCTTGGGCCAGCCTTTGTGTACTTGGTATGTCCTATGAAGGACCACCAGAACTGTCTTCAGAGACTGTAAGTATAATATGTTTCCAAGGATAAACTATTGAGTTGTTGGGAAAAAGTAGAACACAGTTTGCCTTTAAGAGGCAAGATCCTCTTGGATCAGGTGGTTATGTTAGCTAGAATTTCTTTCATATGTCCTCCTGCATCTTTTCTAAGCCACCCAACTGACTTTATTAGGCAGAATGGATTTGAAGGTTCTATGGAACACCACAGAATTTTGCTTTAAATAGCAAATCCTATTAGCACTAGATTCTAATGGATAGGTTAGGACATTTCTATTTCTCATGTTTCACCACCACCACCATTGCCACCACCATCCCCAGCAGCAGCCCTACCATCACATGGTCAGTGGAGAAGGGGCTCTTTCCTAGTTAGAGAAAAACCCAGTATAGGGCAAACTGAATCTCTAAGGTGGGACTCCCGGGAGCCCAGATGTTATTTTGTCTAATGAAATAGTAGCTTTCATGTTCTAGGACAGGACAAGGAGACACAACAGAGCGATTGGTACTAGTACCCAATATGTGCTGGTGTTCTCGAGGGAAATAGGAAATGATTATATTTCTGTCAGGAATTTGATTCTGTTAGACAGTTCCTCAGATATGTCAAGATCATGTTGAACTCTCTTCCTAACATCCAAAGTTTAGTGACATGGATCCTTGAATAATAATTTTACTGCCACCTTTAAAGAGAAAAGATGGGGATTCTTTGGGGGTATTTTTTTCTTTCTCCTTGTGGAAATTAGCTATGCTATATTAATAGGCAAAGCAGGGGAAACCAAGAAGGAAGAAACCATTAAAGAGATTGTGATTTCATCCTTTTTCCTTTTTGAGTTCTGTTAAGGCAGGGATTTTGTGTCTTGGACCCCTTTTGGCAGTCTGGTATAGCCTATGGACTCATTACAGAATAATATTTTGAAATAATTGAAGGAAATGCTAACTTTCAGTTAGAGGCTCATGAAAATAAAGATGTAATTTTTCCCCATTCAATTTCATGGATCCCTTGAAAATTATTTACTAACCTCATAGGGGGTCTGTGGACCCCAGGTTAAGAACCTCTGCCCTAAGGCTTTTCTTAGGAGTGATCTAAGGCTCTTGGTACTAACAAGTGTCCCTGTGGGGCAGGTACTATCATATAGCTGACTGTTAGCATAGGACTTTGGTTTGGTCAGGCTGGGACTAGGTCAGTTATTTGGGCTGGTGGGCTCTGATTTCATTTTTTCTGGACTAGGGAAGCTTCTGATTTGACTGAAGAAAATTCTCTCTCTGATTTTCAGGGTGCTGATGACACAACTTAGTGAAGATATGGACAAATCAGAAGTGACTTCATTCAGTTTTCTCCTAAGAGATTACATGGGAGGAGGGAAGACACACAAAAACAAGGTGTGTACCTGATACACATTATTAAGAACTTATACTACAGCAAGCTGGGTGCTCCTATATGGGAGGGGTAGGGCTTGAGAAGAAGGGGTGGGAGGGAGCGTTTCAGCACATGTGAGAGAAAATGACGATGGGAATGAAAGGGGAAGAGAAAGAATGAGATGAAGGAGGGAGTTTGGGAGGAAAGGAGATAGAGAAGAAGGAAGAAAAGGAAAAAGAGAGACAGAAAGAGAGAGAAAAAAACTAACCTGTCATCACCATCATTACCAGGATTGCCTAGGAGACTTCCCTTTCCCTCAGCCTTAGTAGCATTTGTGAGAAGCCAGCTATGATACTAAGATAATAAGCAGGAAAGATAGAGGTGGCTGTCCAGATCTGGACATGGGGGTTCAGTCAGGGACTCTGTGGCAAGTAGTTGTTATAGACACTTTTGGACACCTTGCAGGAAAGAAAGTTGAGATGATATTTGTAGAGAAAAATGTGTATGAAAGGAAGGTGGGTACAAGCAGAAGAAAACAAGGAGAGAAAGAGGAAAGGCCAGACCTAGAGTGTAGTAGGGCCCATAGGGAACACTTTGGTGCTTCTCTAAGGCACCCTGAAAGTTTATTCTTATTTCTGAGAACTTCATAGATTTCTTTCCCCTTTTCAGTCAGAACAGTTTTTCCTTTCTGACTCATCACATCAGCTGGGGAGAAGGGGAATCATGTTTGGCTCATGCTGAGTAGACAGAAGCAAAAGACAATAATGTTGCCTCCTCGGACTTTTGTCAGCTTCTCTTTTCATTTCTCAACCTGTACAAGGACATCATGGAAGCATTTTAGGGAGAGAACAAACAGTGAGGCGGAAGAGAGAAAAGGGATGAAGTTCCATGAATATTGGTTATATTATAGCTGTAAATATAACTATATGTGTAGTTATATTATAACTATAATATAGTGTTATGAGCATAACACATTTATACAGTACATCTAGGTTTATAAAATACTTTCCTTAGACAGTCCTGAAAGGTAGGTAGTATAAGTATTAAAATTCACATTTTACTAATGAAGAAACTGAGACTTTCCCTATTATTTTTCCCTCTGAACCCACTTCTCTTCTAACTTCCCTGTTTCTACTGAAGCATCTTTGCAGTTAGCCAAGTTCACAGCTTCATGTCCTGACTCCTCACTCTTGTCCACATCCCCATAACCACCGGGTGCCAAGTCTTACCCATTCCATCTCAAAGATTGTACCCTCTTTCAGACCTGCATTACCTTGAAGTAGCATTCTAACAGGTCAGTTTAGGGTCACTCCCCTTAATAACCTTCAGCTTTATTTCATATTTAAAGTCCACCACAATCTGGTTCTAGCCTGCCTTTCTGGATTTATTTCACATTGTTCCTTACATAGTCTGCTTTCTAGCCAAACTATATGACTTGCTGTTAGCCATACATGATATTCCATCTACTGTCTCTGTGCCTGATATAACCCAGGCAATATCCCATGCCTGAAATGCCCTTCCTTGTCACCTCCATCCTTGTTCCATCCAAAGCTCAGCTGCTTCAGGTACCACCTTCAGGCAACACCTCCTTCAAGAAGCCTTTTCTGAGTCCCTCCTCCCCAGTTATTAGTGTCCCCTTTCTCAAAAATTTTTTGTATTGACTATTTATATAATTTTACATTTACTCATCTATATTCGTATTGTATTTGACTGGATTTTAATTGTCCTGGTTGCTCTGGCTTTCCATCTGAAGATACAGATGTAAAATGTCTAGTCTTGGACCATGGGCCTCCGTAGGCTTTCTAGAATACTAACTTCTTGAAAGTTGTCCAAGGAATCTTTGCTTTTCACTATGGGATCTTCACTTTTCAGTACTTTTAAACTTCTCTGTTCATTGAAACTCAACCAAGGTCCCAAACCTCCTATACCCTTTCTGGTCCTGAAGCCTGATTGGTTCCTGAGATTGGGAAATCTGTTCCCATCTTCCTTTCTATTGGCACTGTGCCTGGAGACACATTTCTGGCATCTGATGACTTAATTCCACTTCCTGCTATTACATGTTCCCAGATTACAAAAATGCTTTGCCATGTTTCATTTGTATCAGAAAAAAATTTTTTTATCAGGAAAAGATATTTAGAAATAAACCTAAAAGGAAATGATTCAGTCTTAAATCAGTAGATATTTAAGCTTTTTAATCTAGTCTTGAACTAAAATGATCCATTCTCAGTTTGGACATCCTCATCCTCTCTAGGCCAGAAGCCTGTAGCTTTAACCACCTCAGGTTCATACCAAGCCAGTTGGATTCTCCCTCTATTTCTACTTAATCAGTAACTAACTTCCTTCCAAGTTCCATGAGAAAGACAAACCAGTGTTCCATGAGAACATAGCACTGGCCCCAAAATATGCAAAGACAAAGCCAATAAGCAAGGAAACGACTGAGATCTAGAGTACGACACTAGATTACTGTTAAAAAATGGACCAACCAATTAATAAACATTAATCAAGCACCTGCTATGTGTCAGGATTGATGTTAAGCACCGCCAGTACAAAAAGAAGCAAAAGACAGGTCCTGCCCTTGAGGAGCTTACAATATAATGGAGGAGACGACACGTAAACAAATATGTATATATAAGCAAATTAGAATAGGACAAATAGTAAATAATTAAGGGAGGGAAGATACTAGAATTAGGAGAGTTTGGGGAAGGCTTCCAATAAAAGATGGGGTTTTAGCTGGGACTTAAAGGAAGCCAGGGAGGTCACTTAAAGGAAGCAGAGAGGTCAGTAGGTGGAGTGGAGGAGGAAGAGTGTTCCAGGTATGGGGGACAGCCAGAGAAAATGCCTGGAGCTGAGAGGTGGAGTGTCTTCTTCATGGAACAGCCAGGAGGTCATTGTCACTAGATCAAAGAATGCATATTGGGGAGAAAAAGTGTAAGAAGACTGGAAAGACAGAAAGTGGTTGAGGTATGAAGAGCTTTGAATGCCAAAGAAAGCATTTTGTATTTGATCCTGGAGGTGGTAGGAGCCGTTGGGGTATATTGAGTGGGGTGACATGGTCAGACTGCACTTTACAAAAATTACTTTAGGGGCTGAATGGAGGATAGATTGGAGCGAGGAAGAGATTTGAGGCAGGCAGACCCACCAGCAGAGTAATCAAGGCATGAGGTGATGAGGGACCTACATTAGAGTGCTGGCAGTGTCAGAGAGGAAAAGGGGGCGCGATGGAGAGATGGCACAAAGGGGAAATTGATAAGGCTTGGCAACAGCTTGGATGGGGTGGGAGAGATAGAGAAAAATCCAGGATGACTCCTAGGTTTTAAGCCTGAGGGACTTTGAGGGGTTAAGATGGGGAGAAGAGGAGAGGGTGGCTACTGCAGGGGAGGTGATAGGAGAGAACTAAAGGGTGATGGGATTGTTGATCATGGTGAGATTCAACAGGAGGGTTTTGTAAAGGAAGGCAGGAGATGTAGTGATGAACCTGGACCAGAGAGGTCATTTTGGGATGTTTACCTGCATTCAAAATCAATAGACATTTGTTTTGTGTTCTTGCCTTGGTGTTTTCGGCTCCTTGTCCCCTTCAGGTATTGAAGTTCATTATTTCCCCAATGGAACATAAGCTGGTTGAGGGCAGGAATTCTTACATTTTGGTCTTTTTTTATCCCAGTGCTTGGAGCTTAGGGGTTTAATAAATACTTATTGACTAATTCCTTCTGTCATTCATAACAGTTCAGTGCCAATCAAGGTCACTAAAACATAAGGCAGTCAGCTGGCAAGTGAAACTAGAAACTGTCTGTGCTTAGGAAGTGACTTTAGATGATGTCCTTCCTCTCAAAGGGAAAGTACTACTCAGGAAGCTCTGAATTTTGCTGGTGGTGCTGACGTTCAGCTTTATATGTGGAGCTGGGCAGCTAGGTGCAGGAGTGGATAGTCTGGAAGGGGGTGAGTTCAAATTCTGTCTCAGACACTAGGTTACCCTAGCTGAAGTCAATTAACCTGTCTGAGCCTCAGTTTCCTTCCTTTATCTGTAAAATGAGTACATTAATGGTACCTACTACCTAGGGTTTTTGGAAGATCAAAAGAGATAATGTGGAAACACTTTGCAAATTACTGTGTAAATGGTAGCTTTCGCTATAGTTGCGTATAGTAATTTCATTTTTTTTTTGGCCTGGTTTTGAATTCTGAAGTTCTTCGAGTACTCTGATGATAGCTGTTAATTGAATGAATCGGTAGAAGTTAGAGATCATGCTCTGTCCTTCTTGGGCAGAGAATTATTTTGGACACTTTTTAAAAATCAATTCTGTCACTAATACTGTTTTGCTTGCTAGAAATTGTTTCTCCATTACCACTTCCCCTCATTTTTAGGGGCAGTCCCTAGAGCTTTCAAGTAGAGATCTAATCAGATTTATCAGTAAAAGGGAGAAACTGCAGAAGTTTCTCAGACTGCTGCTCATGCAGATTTTACAAGTTACTTCCCTGAGGTCCTGGCATTAAGAGCCCCAGGGAGTAGATTGACCTTTTAAAGCTCAACTGTGCACAAAGGAGGGGATTTCTGACTGAGGAATTTTGAATTAAAGACCATGTCAGGCTAGTTTGTAAGATGACCTCGGTAGGCTTCTTGTTCTTGACACTACTGAGGGAGTAAACACAGATCCTCTAATTTAGCTGAGAATAAATCATCTATCCTGTGGTTTACTCTTGTTGGTTAATAGTCAATTCTCCTGACCCTTTGCCCTTGTTGGTTATTATTATTTATTATTACTGCTGTTATTATTTCTTTTTCTTCTTTTTTTTTTTAAGAGTTTCTTAGATGTTGTTATTGACCTAGAGAAGGTAAACTTGATTGCTCCTGACAAGTTAGATTTACTGGAAAAATGTCTGAAGAACATTCACAGGATAGATCTGAAGAAAAAAATTCAGAAATATAAACAGTCAGGTAAGAAGAATTTTGACTTCCCCCCTCAAGGATGACTCAGTCCAAAGAAATGCTTGTTCCTAGTAGATATTCAGTGAATATTTGTCAAGCCCAGAAGCAGCTTTGTGCTTGGGTTCTTAATTGCTCAACCTTTAACTCATCAGCCACATAAACAGATCTCTTTGTCTTTTCATTTGATAGATTACTCATTTGACTTAGTGGTTGAGTTCAGCTAGGTGTTTAGGGTTATTTGTAGTTTTAAAAATTACCCTTTTGATGCTAGCATTATAATTTCCAAAAGTGATTTTTCCCTAAGACTTAAGAACTTTGACCAGTACGATGACCAAGTATGCTTCCAGAGGACAGGGAATGAAGCATGCTACCCACCCCCTGACATAGAAGTGATGGATTCAGGGTTTAGAATGGGACATGTATTTTTTTTTTTTTTTGGATAAGGCCAATGTAAGAATTTATTTTGCTTGAATATGCATGTTTGTTGCAAGGGTTTTGTTTTTCTTTTGTTTTATACTGGAAGGGAATGGAGAGAAAATAGATTTTTGTTCACTGAAAACATTTAAATAAAAAAGTGTTTCCCTTGGAAAGAACTATCAGTTGTTAAATTTTTTAGCGTTCTAAAGTCCCACTTATTTTCTTAGGAGATCCAGCAAAAATACCCTGTGATGTCAGATTCCTATATTTTGCTGGCCCCTGGTTCCTTTTTGTATTTGGGAGTTTTCTGTTGCTTAATAATATAGTATAGGACAAGTAATTTTAGGTTTGATAGCCACTTGCAAATTGTGTCTTAGAATCTCTTTTTCTGTTTCCAGCTTTGGGAGCAAACTATGTAAATGGAATCCAGGCTTCCCTACCAAGTGTAGGTCTGATGAATTCTGGTTACACCTTGGAGGTAAGTCTGTTTTTTTGGGTTTTTTGTGAGGCATTTGGGATTAAGTGACTTGCCCAGAGTCACACAGCTAGTGATTGTTAGGTGTCTGAGGTCGGATTTGAACTCAGGTTCTTCTGACTCCAGGGGCCAATGCTCTATCCACTGCGCCAGCTGGCTGCCCCCTTGGAAGTAAGTCTGTAGCAAACCTATAGACCTTTATAATAATTTATATTTGGTACCAGGCCTAACTTAGGCATTTCAGTGATTCAGATTTAGAGTTGAAATGTAATGAGATACTCACAAACCATAATATGTAACTCCAAAACTTTTGACTTAGGATAATTAAAAAGAATACAGTTCTTTTTAAAGATGTAATGTTTTCAATGAACAAAAATCTATTTTGCTTCTCTCCCAGCTCTACTCTATTGAGGAAAAAAAAAGGAAAAAGAAAAACAAAACCCTTGTAACAAAAAGAAAGCTGTTATCTTACATGGAATTAAGACAGTGTCTACAATAGATAGTACCACTGTACTCTGGCTTGATCAGAGATCAATCAACAGGCATTATTAAGGGCTGTTAGCCTTTATGTGCAAAACACTACGGTGAGACCACATCTGAAGTATTATAGTCAGTTCTAGGTATCATGTTTTAGGATCCAGAGTGCAGAGGGTCCCCAGAATGGTGAAGGGGACTTTAGTTCATGCCACAAGAGGATCAGTTGAAAGAAATAGACATGTTTTAGCGAGAAGACTTAGAAAGGGCAGAATGTCTATCTTCATTCAAGCAGGAAAGGCTGCCATGTGGAAAACTAGACTTATCTTGCTTTGCTCCAGAGGTCAAAACTAGGAACAAAGGTAGAAGTTGTAAGAGGCAAATTTAGGCTTGAGGCCATGAGGATATGAACTACTTACTCATTAGAGCTCTTCACAAAATGGAATGAGCTGCCTTGGAAGTAAAGGTCTTTGAGCAACACCTCGATATCACTTGTCAAGTATGTTTTGTAGAAGAGATTCCCGTCCAGTCAGTCAACAAGCATTTATTAAGAGTTTACCAAGTTCCAGCCCTAAATCATTATCAACAATGAACATTTAACGTGTACCAGGCACTATTCTAAACTCTGGAGATACAAAGAAAGCCAAAAACATCATCTCTGCCCAGGAGACAGCATGCAAAAAAATTATGCATACACACAGTGAACATGGAAGGTCATCTCAAAAGGAAGGCTAGTGACTAGCAATACTGAGGTGGGGGAGACCCAGAAAAGCCTCTTGTGGAAATTAGTATTTGAACTGTTTTTGGAAGGAAGGCGGAGGCTGAGGCAGAAGAGAGCATTCCAGGCATGAGGGATATCTGTGAAAAGGCAGAAAAAAAATTAGTGATGGAACATTGTTTGCAAGGAATGGCAAGAAGTCTAGTGTCACTGGATTTGAGAATACGTAGAGGGAAGTTAGGTGTAAGGAGACCAGAATGGTAGGAAGGGGCCAGGTGTGAAGAGCTTTAAAAGCCAGAAGATTTTATATTGGATTCTGGAAGTAATAGGGAGCCATTGGAATTTATTGGGGGGGAGGGTGATATGATTTCAGTGATTTTCTTTTTCTCTCTTTTCTTTCCTTCTCTTTCTTCCTTGATTTTTTTATTTTTAGGCAATTGGGGTTAAGAGACTTGCCCAAGGTTACACAGTTAGTAAGTCTCAAGTGTTTGGTCTGAAGCTGGATTTGAACTCAGGTCCTCCTGATTTCAGGGCCAGTGCTCTATCCACTGCACCACCTAGCTGCCCCTCTTTTTTCCTTTCATAACAATGTTTCCAAGTATTAGCTAAGTAACGAAGGGCTTTTCTTTTCATTGTGGAGAAATAAAAAGGAAAGTTCTTTGTTAATTAGCTAATACAAAAATGCTTCTAAGTATTAGAATTAACAAAAAGGCTTTTCTTTTTATTTCTCCATAATTATCAGTGGGGATTTTGTACTGGCAGATAGTTTAAGCCAAAATCTACTTCTCTAGTTAATCTCTTACCCTAAAAAGTTACTTTTAATTTATACATACATCCACTCCTAAACCAGTCTTAGGTTTGGAGGGAGAATTTGGAACAAAGTACAGTTTCATGGCTAAATAATAAACTCTTTTGTAAAAAAAAAAAACCCTGAAGTGGAGACGTTAACATAAATAGTTGTGAGGTTAGTTGTCTCTACTCTCACTCTTGTTATTCCCAGTCTTTTGAACAGAGACTGGCACACAGATGCTTAATAAATGCTTATTGACTGACTGATTGATTATTCTTGCTCAGGCTCTCGTTACTTCTCTCCTGGACTATTACGATAGCTACTACCTGGTCTTACTACTTGTCATCTACCACCTTTTCAGTCCATCCTTCCCACTGCTATCCTAGTAATCTTCCTAATGTACAAATTGGACCATATTGGCCTCCTGGTCAAGAATCCTTATCGGCTCACTGTTGTCTGGTGAGCAAAATGTAAGTTTCTTATCCTGGTATTTAATGGCCTTCACAGTTTGAGTCCAGCCTTGTTTTACTTTCCTTATCTTCACACATCACATTCCAAACAGAACAGGATATTTTCCATCTCTGGCTCTCATTCTGTTCTTTCCCAAGAACTCTACCACTTATGTGCCTTTGTTCATACTGTGTGCCCCATGCCTGGAACTCATTGCCCCCAAATTTCTGCCTGTTAAAAGCCTCTCCCTTCAAGGCCTAGCTGAAAGTGATGTCTTCCTCCTCAAGTATCTCTTGATCCTCAGTTTGACCTCTCTTATGTACTTACCACATTCTCTTCTATCATAATTATTTATTTGCTCATCAAACCATTAAACCTTACCTCTACCACCACACCACACTTTAATGTATTAGTCTCTGTTTTTTCATCTTGTACTCCAGTACCTGCCGAGGGCCTCAGACTTTGTAGGTGCTTAATAAAGGTCCTATTGATCGAATTGTGAGGCTTCCCTTCTTGTACTTCCTTCCCTAGAGCAGTTGTCTTGTTGAAATGTGTCGACATGTGGTAGGGCAACTGGGAAGGAGAACAAAATGTAATATGACCTTGTTTTTTCTTTCAAGCTCAAGAATGGGACGAGTAAGGAGAAAACACCGATCTTTGGACAGCATGGAATTTCAAGTAAGGCCATCTTTCTTTCACTTTAGAAAATAAAAACCTTACATACAAATCCTTGGAATTTCCACAGTCATTCCTTTTCTCCAGCTGTGTATTCTGTCACTAGTCAGATTGGGGCCCCTTTAAAGCTCATAATAAGCAAACTGATTATGATTTCTAACGGCTTAATCTAAGGTATGATAGAATTATCTGAATTTAAGTAACACCAAGGCTGATCCATTATCTTTATTACTTTGGCTGGAGATATAAATTTTTTTATAAAGGGAGAAATAAGACAAAAAAAATTTGATCTGACTGCTGTGGGTTTAGTCATAATAAATAACATGGTCTGCATACCAAATACTGATTATAGATCATTGAACAGGAGGAAGTAAATCTCCATTGTAACATGTCTCATTATTACATTGATTTAATGTAAGTGGAAAGAGCCAAATCCTAAAGTGGCTTGGAGTCAGAAGACAAAATGGGTTCAAATCCAGGCTCTCCCACTTATTACCAGTATAACCTTGGTCAAATCACATAACTTCTGAGGGCTTCAGTTTCTTCATCTCTAAAATGAGAGGCATATGCTGGATATGATCCCTGAGGTCCCTTCCAACTATTAAACACTATTATTCTATAAACATGCCTTCTCTTCCTCACTTCACCAGAAGCTCTTGTTTCTGTAGGTTTTTTGGAGGGGGAAGGCCTGGTTTGTAGAATGATATATATATGACACATATGTCACATATAGTCACACATAAGCATGTACATGCAGTAAAATCCTGATATGACACAGTCTACAAAAGAGATGTGAGCCTCTCCCTTCCACCATTATCAAAATTATAAAGGGGTTCTACTCTAACAGAAGTATAGCATGAACCACAGAAATATGATTTGGTAAATTTAGCAATTTTACTGACTTGTATATGTCATTGAGATTTTGTGGCTTCACCTTATCATGCCTAAAATAGATGTAATTCAATTATAAATATATAATTCAATTCAAATAGTCATTGCAGCATATTGTAGAGAGAGGCATCAAGTTTGGAATCAAGATCCTGCCTCTTATTCTGATGCTACCATTAACTAGCTGTGTTATCACAGGCAAGACAATGTGAGTAGGCAAGGGAAATTCAAAGCAGAACATAAGCACATAGGTCAATTTTGTTACAGCCTTGTTAAGTTAAGAAAAAAGGAGAGAAAGAATCCTGTTTGAGCCTTGTCTTTTTCTCTATCTTCAGTATTAAGAGGCATGCACTAGATTTCGGCTTCTTACATCACTGACATTTCATGAGTCCGTTAATGCTTTCTATCTGATCCTTCTCAGCAGTGATCCAGGGGCTCCTCATCAGCTGTGAAGAGAAAAAAATGGCCATCAGACATGGAAGTTGCAGAGAGGGAAGGGAGAGGTGTTGAGCAAATTTGTCTTGCTTTATTTTTAGCTGTGGGATTGGCATTTCTACTTTGACTCTCTTACACGGGGCCATCTGTTGCCATTTCCTTCCCAGATTTGTGTTTTTTAACCTAGGAATGTACAACCTGAGCTCTCTGGCTACAGAGTAAACTGAATTTTCACTTAATTCAGTGAGCATTTATGAAGTGCCTACTGTGTGCAAGACACAACTGGGGATAAAAAAGACAGAGATGAAAAAGAAAGTGTGTGCTTTCAAAGAGCTGTTCTTTACTGAAAAAGCAAAGAGCAAAGAAGCATTGAAATAGATAAGGAGAAAACCAGTATATAGCCTTTGGGAATTTTGTCATCATGTGAATAGGCTCCGTGTTCCTATAGCTTTAATAGTAAATATTCATATTTCTACAGCATCCCCCCCCCTTTTTTTTTTTGGTGAGGCAGTTGGGGTTAAGTGACTTGCCCAGGGTCACACAGCTAGTAAGTGTCAAGTGTCTGAGGTTGCATTTGAACTCAGGTCCTCCTGACTCTAGGGCCAGTGTGGTATTTTAAAGTTTATCAAAAACACTTTCCTCCCTCCAACCCAGTTAGATGGGTACCTAAACAAATATTATTATACCCTTTTAAGGGGATTATAATTCTACATCATCATCATCATCATCATTACCATCATCATTCTTTACTAAGCTAAAGAAATGGGAGCTCAGAAAGATAAAGTGACTTGCTCAGAGTCACACAACTTGCCAGGGTCAGAGGTAGGATTGGAACTCAGGTCCTTTCCGACTCCAGACTCCAGTAGTTTTTCCTCCTATCTTCTCACGTTAACTTTAAAAAATTTTTTTCTTTTTTTCCCAATTACATGTAAAGACAGTTTTAACTTTTTTTTCCCATATTTTGAGTTCCAAATTCTCTCCCTTCTTTTCCCCTCCCAATTGAGAAGGCAAGCAATTTGACACAGGTTATACATCACATTAATATTTTAACACCTTTCTTTTTTCCCAGCAGAACCAGTTAAAACATCCATTCAGGAATCTGAAAAATCCTTGCCTCAGGTACAGATTCATTGATCTGATTTGATGTTTTTGTCTCTCCTCAAGATATTTTCTCCCATTTTAAGACAAAATATTGAATTATTGACAAATGCTTCTAAATTAACGTATTGTTGTTACAAGGATAGCAGCAGTAAGAAGAGTGCTTAGCAGCCTAATAGTGTTATTTTGGCTCCTCTTGAGGGAAGAGGACTTGATAACCATAGGAAAGAGAAGAATGTGCTCTTATTTTGGAAGAAATTAAAATGGACTGGTTAGCAGCTTGAATAACTGGGAAAAGTTAAAATTACCCTTTATCCCTTCTCAACAAGGTGACTGCATTACCCCTGTGTAGAAGTGAGTGGGAGTTGGGGTGGGGCTGGTTTAGTTCTTGTTGCTGTGTGTTGTCAGCCCAGTTTCTGGATGAGATGCTGCTCAAAGAGGTACTGATGGAAGCCAGAGAGCTTCCCCTCCTTTCTTGGGAGAAGGGACTACTTATATAAGCTCTGAAAGAATGCCGTATTGTGGCTGGTCAGGAAATGCAGGGACTCTTTTCTCTCTGGTTCAAAAGCTATCTGGAGATTAAAACATAAGCCAAGTACTTCTTGGGAAGATGTAGTCACTAAAAACGTTAAAAATCAAAAGGAAACTAAAAGTAAAAGTAGATTCCTTATCTTGTAATCATTTTTTTTAATGGAAATAGCATCAATGGAAAGTAATTTCCAGATTCCTTCGATCTCAGACCTGATTGGCTACTCCACATCAGAGTCTACAGAGAGGATTAGAACTAGCTGAAAAGGGGATTTTAAGGGAAAGCAAATTAGAAGGAGACATAGCATGTGGTTGGGCCTGGAAGGGACAGAGTAATATTCAGAATTTTTCTTAACCCATTTTTCCCCTTTTCTAATAGGTGACTGGTGAGGAATACAGACTAAAGAGTCAGCCATTGGGAATCTGTTTAATAATTGATTGCATTGGCAATGATTGTGGTATGTATTGGCCTTTTTGGATTTATTGACGTCCCCCAAATAAATGGAATTCCTTAAGCTTTTACTCAGTGCTGCATATTATTGCCTTTGCACTGTACTAGAGCTAAACAAAACTATGGCATGGGCCATAGTATTTGGGGAGATTGTTGAACTTTTTTTTTTCTTCTTCTTTAGAGAATATGAAATAGGTAGAAATTATTTCTGTTCCGGTAGAAGGAATTTATAAAATATGACTTTATGGCAGTAAGGGGTTGTGAGATACTAAGTTGTTACTCAGTGAAATATTTTCTGGAGATATTCAGAGAGTAGAATAAGAGAGATCTACTTAGGATCCATTGGATACAATCTAGCTAAGGATGATGGTCTTTTTGCTCCTTCACCTCTATGCTTTGGGGTTAATCTGATTTTCGAGTGCCTACACAGTTGTAATCTGATATCAGCCACCCATATTTGGGTCTGGATTGGTTTTTCAGTTGGAATTCCATGTTTGACTCAAACAGCATTGCTGAGACAACCAAGGAAGGTCAGGAAGCCAGAACATAAGGGAGGCAAGAGGATGTTTATTTTTTTATCTATTTAGAGAGAGGGAGTAGTCATTCTATGTCATTCAGTTCTCTAAACCTTGGACATATTCTTTGGATGTTTGAGAACTATTTTTCACAGTCACTTTAAAATTTATCCTGGAGAGTTTCCAGAAAAGGCATTCTTAAGAAGTTAAGTAAGCGCACATCAGGCAATCTTAGATTAAGTGCCTCTCCCTGCCCCCATTTTTTTTTAGGTGTCCTATTTTTTTTCTTTTGGTTTAGAGAAATGTGACCATACAAAGACTCTCTCTCACTTTCTCTCTCTCTCTCTCTCCCTCTCCCCACCCCTCTCTCCTTCTCCCTTTCTCTGTCACTCTTTCTCTCTTCTGTTTCACTCTCTCTTTCCCTCTCTTCCCTCTCCTCTCCTTTTCTTTTTTCTCCCCTCTATCTTCTCCCTCTCTCCTCTTTCTCTCCTTTCTCTTCCCTTCCCTTTCCCCTCCTTTCTCTGACCACGAAAACCCCAGTAACAGCTATAAGATGCTCAATTGAGTCTCCTAATAGAGGTAAAAGGACATGTGGGCACTGTTGTCCTTCAGCTGATCCAGAGAGTTGCCAGAACTTTTCTTTTTTAAACATAGTTCTCCTGTTTGATTTATTCATCATCAGACAAATTGATGAATCATTCATTGTACATAGAGCTTTGCTGGGCATTTCCCTCGGAGAATCCCACAGACCCAATGTCTGCTCTTTGTAGGAATGCACAGTCCAAGATTCTCAGTGGCGGAACATCCTGTTCTTTGTAGACGGCTGAATTTTCCTCACTCTTGGCTTATCTGATTTGAATTCCAGAGTCATTACTTAATGAATTTCCATAGCTCTGTTTGAGAAATAGCATCTGTGTACAAAGTATCTATTAATGTTTGTATCTAAATATGCAACCTGAAATAGATAAGAAATGATAGGTATTGGGAGAGTGCTTTAAAAGTTTTTGAGAATAAGAAGGAATACCTGGGTCCTATTCTCTGCCCCTTTTACAGGTGATCCCCTTTCCTCCATTCATTTATGCTTTGATTCTTTCTCCGCATATCTATTGGATGCCATATTCTATGTAAGATGTTGTGCTAGGTGTTTCTGGAGGATTCAGAGGAAATGAAGTGGTCCTTGCCCTTAATGAGTCTGTAACGTAGTAAGGAAGATGACATGTGCACAAATAAGTATAAGATAGCATCTGGTCAGTGTCATAAGGGAGTTGCAGTAATTTAGAGGAGGGAGAAGTCATGATTGGCCAGGGTGGGGGAGTGATCAGGGATGGCTTCATGAATGAAAGTGTCATTTGAGTTAGACTTTATAGGATCTCAGTAGCACTTTGACAGGTGAACCTTGGGGGGCTGGGGATTTATGGAAGAAAGAACAGCATGAATAAAGAGGTAAAGGAGAGAAAGCATGGATTGTGTTCAAGCAGTAGTATCTAGTTCAGTTTATTTATAGTATTGGATAAATGTAGGGAAGGTAGTGGTAGATAAGGCTGGAAAGGCAGTTTGGGGCCAGATCTCAGAGGGTTGTACTTGCTAGAATAAAAGGTTGGATTTTATTCAATAAGGAGCTATTGACAAGTAAGATTCATCACTGTGATTAGTTGCATTAATGTTAATTTGGTAGTTGGGTATACATAGACTTACCAAGCTAAGCCATTAGCTTTTGTGTGATTTGGTTTCAGGGCAGGTAGGGGTTGGCAGTGGATAGAACGCTGGGCCTGGAGTCAGGAAGACCTGAGTTCAAATGTGACCTCAGGTACTTACTAGCTGTGTGATCCTGGGCAAGTCACCTAACCCTGTGTGCTTGAGTTCCTCATCTGTACAAAGGAACTGGAGAAGGAAATGGCAAATCACTCCAGTATCTTTTTGAAGAAAATCCTAAATGGGGTCATGAAGAGTTGGAAATAACTGAACCACAACAGTATGCCAAAGAACTAGATATTTGGTTTGAGATGGTAGGAAACACTCTGTGTCACAAGTGATTATCTCTGGGGTTTGAAATGAGGCCCAAACTCTTTTTCAGCCTCCTGAGGAAAAGTTGATCCCTTCAGGTTTAGAAGAATGACTTCCTTTTCATTTCTTTCCACACTTTTCTTTGAAACTTGCAAAATAAAAATTGCAAGTATACTTTTTACCTGGACTAGGGTTCAGATTTGCCAACTTGCTTTTTAGAACCTTCCATGTAAGAGACACTTGCATAAGCAGCACTCTCTCTACCAATATCCCATTAGAACTCATGAGAAACTAAGAATAGACAGTGGAGAAGTCTTGTGAGCAGGGCCCACTTGAGCATAGCTGCACATCCTTCATTGTTATTTCTTATCTCCCTTAATAGTGCAGAGAAATAAGCTGAATCAGTAACACTTACCTGGTCTAACATTGGAAGATGCAGACTCAGCACAGTGACATTTAGTAGTCTTGGCCTCTGCTCTTTTGTCTAGGCTGACAAGCTGCAAATGAAATTTGGGATGATAGATGTATGGGTCCCTGAGATGGAACAGTAACCACGTGCTTTTTATTGGCTTGGATGGCAAACCACTGGGTTGGGCTTTCCTGTTTTCCAGTCTTGGGAACTCCTCCAAAAAAAGATGTATTTTGCAATGTAATGGAAAGAGCAGTAACTTTAGAATCAGACCTGTGTTTAAATGCTGGATCTGTTGTGGACTCGCTGTAGGATCTCAGGCAAGGCCCTTCACCTCATGAGTCCACAGGATTTAGAGACGAAAGGGATGATCAAGTCCACTTTTGTCATTTTACCTCTGAGGAAGACATACCCAGAGTTCAAATATCTTTGCCCAAGGCATATGGGTAGTAAACAACAGAGCTAACTCTACACCCAGAACCTTTTCCACTATACCCTGTTTCTTCATCTGTAAAATTGAGTTAGCAATAGTTATCCTATCAACTTCCCAGATTTCTTGTGTAGATTAAATAGGATGATATATGGAAAACACTATAACCTGCTCAACTCATTTCAACCTGAATGTAGAAAGGACAAGTAGGGAAGAACCAGGAGTTTTTTGTCTTCTCTTCCCCTTCTGATCAATATAATTGAACAAACATTTCTTAAGCACCAACTATATCCAAGGCACTGGGATACAAATAGACAAAGAAAATCCCTGCTCTCAATGAACTTGTTCTTTTGTGGGGCAACAATAGATAAATAGTGTGAGTTTAAATTCCATCTCAGACACTTACTTACTGGCTGGGTGACCCTGGGTAATTGATTTAACTTCTCTCTGCTTCAGCTTCCTTAGCTGTAAAAATTAAGGGGAATGGTCCTGATGGCCTTGAAGGTCATTCCCAACCCTAAATCTATGCTCCTATGATTGAAGGAAGACAGAGCTTCTGAGATGTGGATATGAAGAGAGAGTCTATTCCACAGGTGACAGATGTCTTGTATGAACATATAAAAGCAAGCAATATGAGCTAGGACTATTCAGAGCTTCCGGAAATAGCTGCTAATCTGGTTTGGCTTGAGTAAAGAGTTCATGAAGGCCAGTAGTATAAAATAAGGCTGCACAGGTAAGTCAGAGCCAGACTGTGGAGGGTTGTTGTTTAGTCAGGCTAATATTAATTTTCAGTTATGTCTGACTTTTCATGACCCCATTTGGGATTTTCTTGGCAAAGATACTGGAATGGTTTTACATTTCCTTTTCCAGCTTATTTTACAGATGAGGAGACAGAGGCAAAGAGGGTTAAGTGACTTGCCCAGGGTCACACAACTAGTAAGTGCCTGAGGTCGGATTGGAACTCAGGAAGATGAGTCTTCCTGACTCCAAGCCCTATGCTCTATCCATTGTGCCACTTAGCTGCCCCATGTCAGGCTAAGCAGTCTTTGTTTTATTCTGTAAGTAATGTGGAGCTATTAAAGATTTTTGATCAGGTGAAGTAACATGTTCAGACTAGGGTCTTTGGAAGGCCCTTTTGGCAGCCTGCAGCAGAGATGGATTGGAGAGCGGAGAGATCGGGGACAGGGAGACTGATTGGGAGGCAAAATTAGTAAGGCAAAGTGATGAGTACTTGGAAAATAATGGAATAAATGTATGTGTATATATCTAAACCATATTGCACATTTGTATATTATATTTGTGTATGCATATATTATATATTTATATAGTAATATATTACATGTTATTATATGATGAATATATGAATGTATTTATATGTGTTATGTATGTATATATGTGTATGTGTGTTTATGGAGGAGACTCAAGTCGGGGGAGATGATGAATTTGAGTCTGCATGTTGTCTGTTCAGAAAGCCTAAGTTCAAACCCTGTCTCAGACACTTAGTAGCTGTGTGACTCGAGACATGTTAGTCCGCCTCAATTTCCTCACCTGTAAAATGGGATTAGTAATAAAATCTACCTCATAAGATTATTGTGCAAAACAACGAGATAATGTATTTAAAATGCTTTGCAAAGCTTAAAGCTATATGT